TGCTCGTGGCCCTCGCTTCTGCACACCTTTGCTAACGAGCAGGCTCCGTGTTCTTCTTTGCTAAGGTCTTGTATTACAAGCGCCCCGCTTAACACTTCTGACCCGATTCGCCTTTGTCGCTGGCCTTGGGGGTTTGTCTTTCGGCAAATCTAACGCGCTGGGTTCATCTCCTGCGCCTGTGGGTGTAGGTTTACCTTATATAATGCTGCAAAATGTTCTGCCTGTAATGCACACGCACCCCTGGGCTTCTCGTTGCCAGTCTCGCCTTTTTTAATAAATAAATGCTCCTCTTGATGCATGTTTTTGTTCTGTGCTTATTGACAGGGAAAGCTGACAAATCCTGGCACTTGGAAAAGCTTTAAAGTGTTTGTGTAATATTAGATGATTTTAGGCTTCTCAGGCTATTTAAGCTTGTTGAGTTCTCTTGAAAACACGCCTTTGCAAACATACTTGCCCTTTGCTTCTTCCTTGAGTTGGGAGTCTCCACATGGATGGGTTGGCGTGGTTCGACTGTCGCACATGCGTTGTGTGTGTGATGGTGACCTTGATGGACCCCACTGAAATGTGAGGCACCTGGCTGGCTCCTGCGGTGCTTCTGCTTTGCCAGAGTGGCTCGCAGAGTCTGGTCTCCAATATATGGATATAAGCATTAGTATGGAAAACAAAAGGGGGTAAAGAAAGGCAGCAGCAAATGAAAAATGGATCCTGGAAAACCAGAGTTCAAATTCTTGTGGTCTTTTTCTATTTTTCTTCAGGGTCCTTTTAGTCTAATCAAGTCGTTCCTTTGTTTAAGACTGAAGGGAGTGGTTTTGTTGAGCACTCAGTGGAAAGAGACTTCATTTTTTTGACTTAAAGATGGCATTCGAGGACTTCTCTCAAACCTGAGATTTGCTGTTTCTCTGTAGGATTTGCTTTGTGTTTAAGGAAAAAAGTATTCTCCCCCAAGTGGCCAGCATCTGAGGGCTTATCAGCAGTGTCCTCTCACTCCTTGCTTGGGTGCAGGAGCATTTACAGAGGAGTGCTCTTGCTCTGAGCTCAGCTGTGCACGTGATTTATTGGAGAAAGCAGGGTCAAAGAAATGTTTTGGAGCTCTGTTAGGGAGAGGATGGAGAATCTCCCTACAGAACGGCAGAAGAGCATTATAATTCTGCCTTGACCTGTCATTTACTTTTCCCTTGTCTAGTTATGTAGATAAAACAAATGAAAATATTTTCATGGTTTAGGAAGTATTGCATAAATCGGAATTGCAGCTGAAATGTTGGACCGTGTTAAATTTTGTTAAAAATCTGGATTGCATTCTGATTGAGCTGTCATTAAATGAGACTAAAGATATTCCTTGAAATTGTTGTGTTTCGTCCGTTTGGACTTGATCTTAAAAGGTCCTTTCCGACCTAAATTATTCTATGATTATATTTTATGCAGAGTTAGGATGCTGGTTCACAGTATGCTATTCACTATGATCTTCAAAGTAGAAAAGTTTATCTTGGAAGGATGCAAAAATGCAACCCAGTTTAGGGGGTTCTTCTTTTAAATAAGACTTTGTAGTTGGTCAGTATGAGTGGTTCATGCTAGGTTAAGAAAGAAAAAGGGACTAGCTATATCTGACTTCCCCTGAAGCGGAGCTTCAAATTGGCAAGGTCATATCTGGTGTATGACCTCTTGGCAAATATTAGTGGAGTGAAATGAGCAGCGGGGAAAGGAAGCAGTCTCTAGCCAGGCTTGTGTTCTGCTGGTAAGGCAGCTTGCCGAGTGCTCGGGTTTTGCAAGGGGGACCCGGTACAGCTCTTACGCGAGTGGAGCTGGCTGTACTCTAGGTTTTTAGTTCCTTTTGGAAAACTGTTCCAACCTTTGTGAGTTAAAGGCAAGACCCACCAAAAAAAATAATTGTGATAAAGAGTAGTGTTGAGGGAAGAAATGAGTTCATAATCATATCGGCCTTATTTGTCCATTGGAGTACAATCCAGTTTTGTGCTTTATTAATTATCTAATATTAATGCAATTACAACCTTGAGACCCAGGAGTTTAATCTTGGATAGATGGAGAGACAGCATTTTTTCCTCCTTCCTTCAACCCTTTAGTAGCCTGTTGGAAGAAATAGCTCTTGTCCCTTTGCTTTTGAGAGCCTTTATAGTTGGGCTCACGTCATTTTACGCAGATTCCTAAAACCGCTTTAAAACAAACCTTCATCAGCTCTGAGCTCATGGTGGAATCAAAAACCTGCAGCTCATTGCTCTTGAGTAGTCAGACTGCTGATGGGGAAATCTGCTTTGCCTGGATTACAAAATCGGTTATGGAGCAATTTCAGGAGTAGGAAGTTACTCTAGAATAAACCAGTGTCTTCATCTTAAGTGGATAACGGTATAACCGATAGGGTATAGGGTTTTATTTCTGGAAGGAATACCACTGAAAAACTGATTCATGTAGCTAAACTCACTGCACGGACAAGTCCTGTGGTTTTGAGAAGAGTCAAATGTGGGGAACAGAATAATTGTGCTACTTTGGAGTGTCTGTTGATGAAGTACATATATGTAACGTTTCTCTGGCTTGCTTGGAAGAGGGAAAATTCCTGTATCTTACAGAAACAGGGATCTCACAAAACTTCTCTTAAGGACTGGTTATACAGAATTGGTTTTCTCTTGCATTTCCCCCCTCTCATTAAATAATCCTGCTCTGACCAAAGGGTCTGGGAACACTTTGGAAGTCTGACGTAGAACAGAAAATACATGCTTTGCCACAAAGCAAACAAACGGTATTTGATAAGCTGTATTCGTGCGGTGCATATCCAGGCTGAGGACTGATCCAGACTGACTGTAGTGGGTGAAATGTGTGTTTTATGGCTTTTGGTCTCTTGGTCAGGACTAAAATATTTTCTGTTTGCTCAAAGTCTCTTCCTTTCTTTTTGCATTCAGCTATGCTGCATGCCCGCTGCTACTCTCATGGGTCACAAGAATCAGATGAAGAATTTGATGCTCGCTGGGTGACGTATTTCAACAAGCCAGATATTGATGCCTGGGAGCTCAGGAAAGGTATGTTGAATGAAAAGGGAAGAGTAACATGGAGTAAGTATATCTGCCTTGTAATACTTTTGTGACCAGAAATAACAACTTATTTTTAGTTTGGTATTGGAGAGCAGAAACAGTGAAAAGTGGGAGTTTGGTGTAGGAGAGCAATCCTGTAAATACCCAGTCGGGGCAAGGCACTATGTGAGCCTTATTTGTTCTGAGTTATCTGGCTGCTGCACATGTGCCTGTGGTTGGCTCGCTGCTGTTTGCTCAGCTCTGAGCCTGTTGCAACAGGTGATGGCACCTCACCAAGCAAACAAGTGGGTTGGAAGGAACCATGGCATGCAGAATGAGGGAGAGTGGGGGTATAAGGCAGTGGGAATCCAGGCTTTCTAAGTCGTAGTGCCCCAGAATATGCATTTTAACACCTGGGTGGGTAGGAGGGAAATGTTTGCTCTGAGGAAAGTGTATTTGAGCTCCACTGTTGTTTAGTGTGTAACCACACACAGTTTTCTTTGGACTTTGACTTAATGGCTTGGCCATAACTCCCTGTAGACTGTTTGTCTGATTGTCTCCAGTTGTTATTTGCTGTGGAGTTGCCAACTCCTATTAAACTACCTCAGTTGGGTCTTAAAATTGTGTTTGCGTAACAGCCAGAGGGATCATTCCAGCATCACCTGGATGACTAGGTGTTGGGCTCTTCCCTTGGAAAGGAGAGGAAGGGAATAGGCAGCAGCTGGAGTTCTAGTTTCGTTACATCTGTAGGAATGAAGTCATACGGATTTCTTAATGATTCCATAACTGATGTGCCTTGGTACAGACACTGACTCCTTTTGGGAGCATGGATGAAACTGGCCCACTGGGATTTCATGAAATCCACTTAAAATCTACAGTAGTGAGCAGCAGTGAGAGGGAGAAGACCAAAAGAAAACCCTTGGTGCTGTTTGTGTGTCCCCAAAATAGCAGTGAAAATTGTAGTCGGCTTCTAATGGCAACTGGTGTTGTGGTAATACGTAATTCTTTCATGAGGTGGAGGAAAATAATGCTCAGCAGGTTCCTTTTGATAGCATGATGAGCTGATACCAAGTTCTTCTTGGTGTTTCCTTATATTCACAGGGATAAACACGCTTGTGGGTTATGACCTGGTTCCGGAACCAAAAATCATCGATGCAGCTCTCAGGGCGTGCAGGCGGTTAAATGACTTTGCCAGTGCTGTCCGCATCTTAGAAGTTGTAAAGGTGAGTGGAATGGCAGCCTAGGGTGTAACTGCTGTGTTTGCATTCCTGAGAGCCCAGCAGCAGAAGAGTTTTTCTTGTCTTACTGTTAGTGGTGCTAAGGGAAACCACTATTTCCTGCTGCCAGAATCAATAGCTTGATTATCAGCACGTGCTCGGTGGCTTGAAACAATTGTTTTGAGGTAAGAGTACTCAACAGCACAGCTTCAAGTGTAACATTCTTACGTTCATATTTTCCTTTCCTGATGCTGACTCTAGTGGGAAAGTCTTTAAGGATTTTTATTCCTGTTTTTTTTAATAAGCATTATTAGAAATACCGCAAGTGAAGGCAGCTTACTGGCTTCTTAAAGGACTGAGTACTGAACTGGCTGGGAGTAGTAACTCAGGAAGCTGCATAGGCTTGTAAAACAACATAAACCAACACCTTGAAACCTGAGTCCAGCCTTCGCTTAACAGGGAGTTAAAGTGGGTGGGGATGGAGGCTGGAGTTCTATTTCAGTCATAGAAGTCAGCAGCTATGCTCTTCCAACTGTTTTTTGCCACAAGTGAGGACTGGTGTGGAGGTCTTTGCTGCTAGCTGTCAGACATGCTTGCTTCAAACTTTGCTCCACAATCAGTTGCTTCTCAGTTTGCCATTTCTGCTTTCTGCATTCTTCTGTAGAATTGAAACTCTTTCAGTGGTTTTAGAGATGTAAGACCAATGGAAGAACCTTTGTATGTTTTCCTCATCTCTTCCCCCCCTCCCTGTCCTTTTGTCCCCACCATCTAGAGGGCAACTCAGTTTATCAGAACTTGGGGACGAGTATATGCTCTTCCTGGAGCTCACCTAAATATTACTCAAGGGGTGATGCTTTTTCCTTTATTTCCAAGCAAGTTAAATTTTCTCCCAGGTCTGCCCAAAAGCTGATTTTATTTTTCCCATTTTACTGATTGGATGTAATTTTCTTTCCACTTCCTAAGATGTAAGCAGTCTATGGGCTGGTTTGCAAAGCATCCCTTGCTGAAGGAGCTTGGCTTGGCATTGAGTTTTGTGTGGTATGACACAAACATCACAGGTCACATCAGCCTGATGTTAAGTGAGGGAAAGATGTCAAGTGTTAAGAATAATCTGCAGATCTCCCAAAGGGGAGTTCAGCATTATTCTGGTAGAAGGACTTTGCAGTCTAGCTGTGTACGAGCCTTGTTTACTTAATGCACAGGTAAAGCTGGGCCGTGCAGGAGTACTACCCTGATGAGCAGCAGGTGGATCAGGCCACAGACCCTTTTCTGTACGCATGTCTTGGTTGCAAACCTGACCAGTATACGGTGGACCTTGACAACAGCTTGCTGTCGAAATAACACCATTCCATTTCATTTAGGACAAGGCAGGACCTCACAAGGAAATCTATCCTTACGTCATCCAGGAACTTAGACCAACTTTGAGTGAACTGGGAATCTCCACTCCAGAGGAACTGGGCCTGGACAAAGCATAAACCTTATTGGTAAGGGATGCTGTTGCTTCCGAGACTCTTGGCATGGGACTCCTCTACCCTAAAACTCTCCTGGCAAAGACAAGTCCTCTTCCTTGCCTTCGTGAGTCTGTGAAAGGCGTGAAGTTCAAGCTTGTAACGTGATTCTCCAAATATCTCTGTAACTACAGGTCTCCATGAAAAGGTACTAATCCTTTTCAAAGAAAGCTTAAAAAAAAAAGGACAGTGGAGTTGCTTGACAAGGGATAGGGTGGTTGGCAACCATACCCAGCCTCCCAGAAATTTCTAGATAGCAGTTGCCAAGACAACAGGTATTGCAGCACTTTGTTGGCAGCATGTCGATTTTGCTCCTCATCAACTTGTCCCCCAGAAGCATTTTTAGCAAATGGTAGGACCATTTCCACTGGAAACACACAAACTTTCACTTTATTGGCACAGTCTAGCCAATTTAGAAAACTGGGAGACACTGATTACTACCTTATGCTAGAAGATGGGCCCCACTGACGGTAGTCACCCAACAACACTGGAGTTTCTTCATGATACGCTTAAAATGGCATCTTTTTCTGTAATTAAACACTACTTTGGAGGGGCCCTTGCTTACAGAATAGACAGGTCAGCTTTAGCATAGCCAGAGCTTAACTGATCTGTGTGCACAATATCCTTTAGTCTCAATGGATAATTTCAGGAGCAGTGCATGTAGTATTTCATCCTGATTGCAGCAGGCTCAAGTCTTGGAAAGCCACTTCTTTACTGGCTTTTAAAAGCTGAAATTCTAGGTAATTTCTAAACTTGAAAACAATTGTAACTAAGACATTTAGATCTCCATCATAAATACCAGCCTCTTGCATGAGCTGCAGCGTATGAAGGTGTTGTTACTAAACAGCAGCTTCTCTGTTTAATGAGGATCTGTCATTAAGTATAGGCAAAACCTAATGTCCTCTAATCCCAGGCTAAAATTAAGCCCTGAATAAAAATCTTCATTGAAGTTACGTGAAGGCAGTCTCTGGCATCTCCTGGTTTCTTCAGGAGATGGCCACTGTCATATTCTTTTTTTAGTATTATGCTTAGAATAGCGGTATCGGGTGTCAGACTGCAAATAGTACTTAATTCTGGATCTTTATGTCCCTGCCCTCCTCCTTGTCCTGGGATACGATGTCTTGGTGTAAGGGGGTACCGAGACAGCTGTGCTGGGAATGCAGTAACTGCAGTTGGGGGCTGAGTATGATTAAACTGGGCTTTGGGTGTAAAAGTGAGCAATGGAAGGAACTCATTTGAGATCTTAAGGAAACTGCGGAGATACTGGGCTGCTTCTTTAACGGCTTTTCTCTTCTTTATGTTCCAGGTGCATTACTTGAGCATTTTACTGATGCTACCTGATTGTACACAGTCGCCTGGAGACACAAATGTTAAAATATTACCTTATTTGAAATAACTTCTTCCTTTATTGAGTCACAATGTATGTGATGTGAAGTTGGACCTAATAAAGGAAAAACTAGTTTGACTGATGCGGTAGCGGTGGCTTGTGTGATTATTTCTTTTTGCTTTTATGGGGAAAAGGAAGAAACAAACTCTAAATGTGAGTTGAGACAAACTCCAAAAAGAGAACGTCTGAGAGCTTTATAAATCATGATTTGCTTGGCAAAGTGTGTGTCCATGGCCCAGGCACCTAGTTCCGCCTTCGGGAGGGGAAAGGTAAGGACCTGTCTGGAGGGCATGGTGACCCTCCTGTACAGGCAGCGCTGGGGCGGAGGAGGACAAGGACTTCCAGAAGGCTCCCTGCCCTCGGAGGAGTAATTTCCCCGTCATGAAGTCGGCCCTTAACGAAGCCACCGAGGTGGGTGGGAGGCTCCTTTTTGGAAGGGGTGTGCGCTGCCTGCGGTGCCCGTGCGCTGGCGTCTGGCGGGGCTGGGAACCGGCTGCGGGAGAGATGCTGCGGTGGGAGGCTGCTTTCCACCGGCTCCGGCGCAGGCAGGGGGGTTGACAAAAAAAGGGAGGAAAAGGGAAATGTCTTTATCTTATTTTATTATATTCCCCCCTTAGTAAAAGGGAATTTTTCAGGTAAAGAGCAATCTGGAGGGAAGC